TGTCATAATTGTGATGATTATGGCTTACAGCTCATGAAAACCCCAAATCCACAATCTCAGAAAATTAGAATATTACATGCAATCAGTAAAACAAGGATTGTACATAGAACAATATCGGACCTCTGAAAAGTATAAGCATGCATATGTACTCAGTACTTGGTTTGGGCCCCTTTTGCAGCAATTACTACCTCAATGCAGCGTGGCATGGAAGCTATCAGCCTGTGGCACTGCTGAGGTGTTATGGAAGACCAGGATGCTTCAATAGCGGCCTTCGGCTCTTCTGCATTGTTTGGTCTCATGTCTCTCATCTTTCTCTTGGCAATGCCCCATAGATTCTCTATGGGGTTCAGGTCAGGCGAGTTTGCTGGCCAATCAAGCACAGTAATCTCACGGTCATTGAACCAGGGTTTGGTGCTTTTGGCAGTGTGGGCAGGTGCCAAGTCCTGCTGGAAAATGAAGTCAGCATCCCCATAAAGCTTGTCTGGGGAAGGAAGCATGAAGTGCTCCAAAATCTCCTGGTAGTCGGCTGCGTTGACCCTGGACTTAATGAAGCACAGTGGACCAACACCAGCAGATGACATGGCTCCCCAAATCAACACAGACTGTGGAAACTTCACACTGGACTTCAAGCATCTTGCAGTGTGTGCCTCTCCATTCTTCCTCCAGACTCTGGGTCTTTGGTTTCCAAATGAGATGCAAAAGTTGCTCTCATCAGAAAAGAGGACCACTGAGCAACAGACCAGTTCTGTTTTTCTTTAGCCCAGGTAAGACGCTTCTGATGTTGTTTGTTGTTCAGGAGTGGCTTGACAAGAGGAATACGACATTTGAAGCCCATGTCCAGGATCCGCCTGTGTGTGGTGGCTCTTGATGCACTGACTCCAGCCTCAGTCCACTCCTTGTGAAAGTCCCCAACACTTTTGAATGGCCTTTTCCTGACAATCCTCTCCAGGCTGCGGTTATCCCTGCTGCTTGTGCACCTTTTTCGTCCACACTTTTCCCTTCCACATAACTTTCTATTAATGTGCTTTGATACAGCACTTTGGGAACACCCAACTTCTTTTGCAACTACCTTTTGAGGCTTTCCCTCCTTATGGAGGGTGTCAATGATGGTTTTCTGCACAACTGTCAGGTCAGCAATCTTTCCCATGATTGTGCTTCTTACTGAACCAGACTGAGAGACCATTTAAAGGCTCAGGAACCCTTTGCAGGTGTTATGGCTTAATTAGCTGATTAGAGTGGGACACTTTGAGCCTAGCATATTGAACCTTTTCACAATATTCAAATTTTCTGAGATTGTGGATTTGGGGTTTTCATGAGCTGTAAGCCATAATCATCTCAATTATGACAGTTCATGGCTTGAACTATCTTGCTTTGCATGTAATGAGTCTATCTCATATATTAGTTTCACCTTTTAAGTTGCATTACTGAAATAAATGAATTTTTGCACGATATTCTAATTTTTCAAGTTTCACCTCTATTTCTATCATGTCCTTTCTTGCTTTTTCCCCCAAGGATAGTTTAGTTTCTCATTAATGAATGCAGTTGGGATTAATTCCCTCCCTGGGTGATGTTAGATAGGCATGTGGGAGCAGCAGGGGGAATTAGACCAAAGGAACAGCTGCTTCCATTGCTGATTTGCATTCTGTGTATGTGTAATTAAGTTTTATAGAGCAGCCAATGATGAGGAACTCCAGGGCCCTTAGGAGAGGAGGAGGTTAAAACAGGGGGAAGTTGGATTGTTGGGTCCTCTGTCATGAGCTCCAATTGGATATGCATAGAAGGAGGAAGCTACGAGATAAGACTTAAGGATGTGAAAACTGCCTTAGCACTTTTATTTTCACAAAGATATCACAGTGCCCCTTACACAGCAAATCTCCTTCTGGGAAGTTATGTGAGGTTTCCCTGGCAACATTTCAACACTTTTGAAGTATCCTTTTCATTGACCCTTGTGCCTAAAAGGCAAGAAAGAACACTTCCTATGTTAGTCTTTCAGCATGGAAATCAAATACTGCTGTACCCACCCTCAAAGCATACAGCCCAGTCCTCCTAAATGTGCTTCAGACCCAAATGCCCTACTTTTTCTCAGGTCTGGACTCCACAAGGATGTCTGAGCTTAGCATCCTGCATTGCACTGCTGCTTTGGCATTTGGCCTAATCACCTTGCATGGAGCAGAGAGTATCGTCAGCAGAAATGTTTGGGAGAGGGAGAGAGATAGCAAAGAGAGCTGAGCAAGGGATACTATGGTTAAGAAGTTGGGTCCCATCTGTAAAGAAACCCTGTTTTATTTATCTCTATTTCAGCTGCTCTTTAGCATTTTCAAAAATGAGTCCAGACCAGGAAATTCTTTTTAAAACCCTGTATTTTAAGTCATTTTAAGTAGAATGAGACTAACTCCAATGTTCTTAATTTACATGCATCTCAGTGCCTTTTTATAGAGTTGGTGGGTTTCTAAGCAAAGTTGAAAGCATGGGTCCCAGGTAGATGCTAGCAAACCAAAGCATCCTGTTCACAAAGGCCAGAGGGAGTAATATGGTAGGATCCGATAAGTAAGGAGGAATTGCTAATAGTATACCTTTCCTAGGTGCAGCAGTGTCTGGAGTATCTTAGAAATAAGGTGTAAGCAAGTTAAAACTGGAAAGAAACCACATTTGTTGCAGGAGCAGAAGGTTGTGATCAGGATCAGGGAGTTGGGGTGTGGGGGGACGACAGGACAGTGTGAGCAAGGCAGAATCTATGTAAGCATTGTACTTGGGAGTGAAGCACATCAACATGTTGTCAATTCCTCAATGATTGTGGCCTTGAGTCTGTTCCAGAGGGGTGGAAAGTGTCCTGCTCTTCCATCCCCTTTGCTCATGGCTCAAGTTATCTGAAGGGATTACTATGTCTATTTGCTGTTTATATTCCTTTACCCCTTTTCACCTCCTGCAGGCACTGGCTGACTTCCAACTATACGCAGTTTGCAGTCCCTTACTTCATCTATGATATCTACGCTATGTTTCTGTGCCATTGGCACAGGTACCAGGTTAAAGGGCATGAGTCAAGATGCGTTGAGACCCAGATGCTGCACACTGCCACCCGTGCCTACTTGCACAAGGAATTACTGATGGTGATTCACCATCTTTTCATGGTGTTGGTTTGCTTCCCTGTGTCTGTGGTGAGTGGGACCAGGGGGACCCGTGTGCACAGATGGGGATGGGAAGGAAAGGAATGGGCATGCAGCAAAAGCTGCAAATAAGGATGCTGTGCTTTAGAAGATGCTGCCCCACCCACCCAGGTCTGCCACATTTATGCCTTTCCCCCTTTCAGCTGTGGCGTCAAGGCAAAGGTGACTTCTTCCTGGGTTGTATGTTGATGGCTGAACTTAGCACTCCTTTCGTCTGCCTTGGGAAGGTTCTCATCCTGGTGAGTATCACCCACTACTGAGCTTCTCTTAGGGGAGAGGGGGAAGAGAAAGGTTCGGATTGGTTTTTACCTTGGTGTACGTTACAGGTAGCCCTTGACTAATAACCACAAGTAGTCCTCAACTTATGACAACTGAGCCCAAAATTTGTGTGGCTAAGTGAGAAATTTGTTAAGTGAGTTTTGCCCCATTTTATGACTTTTCTTGCCACATTTGTTAAGTGAATCACTGCAGTTGCTAAACTAGTATCATCGTTAAATGACTCTGTTTCCCCATTAACTTTGCTTGTCAGAAGGTCACAAAAGGGGATCACATGACCCTGGGACACTACAACCATCATAAATGTTGTTCAGATATTGAAATTTAAGAGCTGACCAGTTGATGGAAGGCTGATGCAATGTCAGGATGATGCAATGTCAGTATGATACAATAAGGATGATTCAGCATAGCATAGGTATTGCCCTTTTAAGGCGAAGAATGGATCCACAGAAGTTTTACCTCTTTAAGAGGTGTCTATATAAAGGCAGCCATTATAGGGTGTGTTTTTGTCTCTTTGTGTCTGGTATCCATTGCAGAGTTTTCCGTGTTGAGTTAAGAAGATTGATTGCTTGTCTCTGTGTGCTGTGTTTTGCTCCTGGGTTGTCTCATAATAGTAGTCATGCTGCAAATGCTCTGACAGGTTATGGGCCTAGTACAGAGAGAAGGTCAGAGTGACTGAAGAGCCTAGAGAGAAGAGAAATCCAGTGGGAGCTTGCACCAGAGTAAGTGGTTTAAATCATGGTTAGTGGCAACATGGCCTCTGTCGGCGTAATGGGAGGAGGTTTCTTGGTGTCTCAGATGAATGAGACAAACTACCTCTCCTGGAATGTGAAGATGGAGATGTACCTGCAGAGGTAGGAGTTGTGGACAATTGTTACCAATCCACTGGCAGTCCTGGATGATGGGGACCAGAGGAAAAATGAAAAGGCATTAGCCAGCATAATTTTGGCTTTGGAAGACAGTCAGCTGATACACATGAGGGGTCTCCAGTCTGCGAAAGGGTGATGGGAGGCATTGCACAGTGTGTACATGAGAGAAACTACATGCAGTAAAGTGTTGCTGACTAAGAGACTGTATAAGGCACAGCTAAAGCCGGGGAAGAGTATGTCCACGCACCTGCAAAATATGAGGACATTCCTTGAGTTGAAAGAAAGAGGAATGACATTTACTGAGTCACACAAGATGTATATGGTGCTCGATTCCTTGGACAGTTTATGGGATGTTCTTGTGACCAGTCTAGAGTCTGTGCAAGAGCAGGATTTAACTATGGCATATTTAACTGATCGATTGTTAGAGTAGGAGCAGAAACAGCTGGAGAGGCAGCCTGGAAAGGGAGGAGAGAGCGTTCAGCACAGACCAGCATCTAAAAAGGTCCAGGATGGTGGCAGAGCAGCTGAGAGAGTGAATTTTGTGAAAAGATGCTACACATGTGGTTCTACTGAGCATCTCCAGAGACGCTGCCCTGAGAGGAGGAACAGAGGAGCAGCAAGACAAGGGCACAGGACTACTCAGCACATGTGGAGCTGTTCCCCAGAGTCGTTTTCCCTGGCAGTTTCCCTGACTGAACACACCAGGAATACGTGGTTGTTGGACAGTGGTGTCAGCTAACATATTGCTAACAATCCACAAGCATTTTCTGGTTTGAAAACAGCAAAGCAAATGTGAGTTAGTCTGGCCAATGGACAAAGCGGAAGGTAATGTTTATGTACCAGAAAAAGGTGAAACATTGTACAATGTCTTATATGTACCTGCATTAGAACATAATCTGTTGAGTATATCCAAATTGGACAGGCAGGCTTATGAAATATTATTTGCAGGGGGGCAATACACCACTAGGAAAAATGGACAGATACGTGCATGAGGGGTTAAGAAGGATGGGTAACACTTGTAGAGTGATGGTATGGGTGTAAAGTATGCCAGCTACAAACAGGCAGGGTAACAGAGTTTATGTCTGAGAAGTTCCAAAGGTGGATAAGCAGTCTAGGCATAAGGCATAGAAAAACAAATCCATATTTGCCGGTTGAAAATGGAGTGGCTGAAAGAAGGAACAGTTTGATACAGACCACGAAGAAAGCATTGCTTGCTGATGCAGGCATGAGTAACATATACTGGGGGGAAGCCATGAGGACAGCGAATTATATCATTAATAGGTTATGGAATGTGGCAATACAGGGAACACCATATTTCATGTTGCATGGAAGGAAACCCTCATTAGCTCATTTAAGAACATTTGGCAGTTATGCCTGGGTGCATATTCCAAAAGGTACCAGAAGAAAAGGACAAAATAAGGCCAGGAAGCTTAGGTTTGTTGGGTATGAGCCAGGAACAAAAGGGTACAGATTTACAGATGGTACCAAACAGGTAGAAATTTCAAGATCTGCTAGTTTTGCGGAGCAGAACAATTGGAACAAGGTACATGCTAATTACAAAGTGTTCATGCCAATGCATAGTCCCAATGTATTGGAAGGTGAAACAGGGAAGATGAGACAGGAAACCAGGTCAAATATAGATATAGAAGAGGATAGACCTGTGATAAAAAGTGAAGACACAGAGGATATAGATATAGAAGAGGAGAGACATGTAACAGAAACGCAGGAACATATAATACCAAGGAGATCTGAGAGGCGTAATAAAGGTATACCTCCTGAATGATTCACTGCAAGTGAGGTTAGAGCATATAGTGTAAGGTATGAACTTCAAAGTTATCAGATGATGTCATTGCCAGAATGGAATAAGACAGTAGGGCGCAAATGGTGTTACATGTCAACTCATAAAACATTCCTATGCTTGTTTTAGTAAAATAAACTACCAGAGCTTTTGCCCGCTAATATATTTAATTGGAGAACATGATTGATGACACCCAGCCTGTGAACATGCTTAATTGGAGAATCTGATTTATGAGACACCCAGGGGGGAGGGGGGAAACAGGGTCACAGGTGACTGTAAATTATGTATGCCAGAGTTGGCTTCATACGGGTCATGCCAGTATGTCACCTCTAATAAATCCTTTGAAGTTTTTTGAAGTTTGGCTCGAGACTCATGATTTAATTAGGGCGATTGCTAGAATCCTGACAGCAAGACAACTCTCCTAATAAATCAATATTACCGGGGTCCGGGGTCCTGGCCTCTCCAATTGTTTCCCGACATCTGGGGTGTGTGGAGAGAAACTCAGGTAGCCATGGCAGAGGGTGGGCTATCAGAAGGAGAAACAGATTTGGCCTCCAGCCAGAAGCAAACAAAAGCTGATAGCATAATTAAAGCTGGAGGTCAACCCCCCTTGAATTCTGAAGCAGAGAAACCTGCTCCAATGGAGGAAAGAAAACCAGATAAGTACTGGTGGAAAAAGAAAATTCCTAAAGCCTCTGAGGCTGAGTTTTCCCACCCCCAGGGCCAAAAAGGGAAAAAGCCCTTGAGTGAACTGGGAAGAGTGGATTGGATGTGGGACTGGGCACAGGCCAGAGCCCCAAAGTCCCTGACGGAATCCCTGGGGAGATCCATGGAGCAACTGAGGGAGGAATTTGACCAGGCCACCATTTGGGATGATGGCCCATCATGCTGCCCAAAAAAGAGGGGAGTTTTTACAGAGCCCTTTGAAGTGAGCAGAAGCAAGCGAGATCACAGCCCTCCTTCTCCACCCACCAGAAGAAAAAGGAGTCCGAAGCTGCAGCCAGTTCCTCCTCCATGCAGCAGGCACCCCCCTCCCCCTGTGTGAACTAGAGCCAGGGAAGAAGGCCAGCCACCTCGAGCGCAGGCTTACAGAGGGCAACAGGAGGAGGGAGGAGCAGTACTCAATGAACCACCTCGGTTCAGAGGGAAATTTGATGGGGACCCAGACCAGCTAGCTCTATTCCTTGACTCAGCTGAGATCCACCTAGAATGCTATGGACACCTCTACCTATCCCCCAGAGCCATGGTGAATACTATTTCTGAGGGGCTAGAGGGAGAAGCAAGAGGATGGCTAGCAACCATCCACAAGAGAAGGGCCCCGCAACTGCAGGGCATAGTTGACTTCCTACAACTGCTAGAAGCCAGATTTGAGGAGGCAGAGGAGGACCTGTAGGATGAGCTCAGCAACCTAAAGCAGGGAAGGCAACCCATCAAGGAACACATCCATGAATTCAGGAGGATCAGTGGGAAGCTACCCCTTTTGCCTGAGCAGATGCTGGTTCATTTTTTTCAGAACAAGCCTAGACAAGCAAATTAGCTAAGTCAGCACCAGACAACGCCACGACTGGCAAGACCAACCTGCAAGCGACCTAACCATGAAACTCAAAAGTGAACTACTAGCAGACCCCTGGTTCCGGGACAATCAACACATCTTGACAAAAAGAGATGACCTACCATGGAAGGGGATGAAGCTCTACGTCCCAGAATCCCTATGCACACTAGTCCTCCAGAGGAGCCACGACACCAAACCGGCAGGCTACTTTGGGTTCTTAAAGACTTTACACTTAGCACGGAGGCAATTCTGGTGGCCCGACATAAAGAAAGACATGGACAGTTATGTGAAGAGTTGTACCATCTGCACCGCAATGAAAAAACAGCCAGGAAACACCCCTGGACTGCTACAAACAGTAGCAGAGCCAACAAGGCCATGGGAGGAGATCGCAATGGACTTCATAGTGGACTTGCTGAAAAGTGGGGGGAACACAGTGATCTGGACTGTAATAGACTTATTCTCCAAACAGGTGCACTTCATACCTTGCAGTGGACTACCCTCAGTCCACCAGTTAGCCAAGCTGTTCCTGAAGCACATGAGAGCCAGGGAAGAAGGCCAGCCACCTCACCCCTGTATGGAGTACCATGGACGATTATCTCAGACAGAGGGGTCCAGTTCATGGCTAAGTTCTGGAGCAAGTTCCTGCAGTCTATTGGGTCATCCCAGGGCCTTAGCTTGGCCTTTCATCCGAGCACCAATTGGGGGGGGGGGCAGAGAGACTGAACGACCATGGTAGAGCAGCACCTGAGGTGCTACATGAATTATCAGCAGTCCAATTGGGTGGACCTCCTGCCTTTCATGGAGGTTGTGTACAATAATGCTGTTCACAGTAGCACGGGACTAAACCCCTTCAGAGTAGTGAGCAGTATGGACTTCGTCCCAATGCCTAAGTATCCAAGGGATCCCCCCTCATCAGTCAGCCTGACCGAGTGGATGTCAATATTTAAAGCAACTTGGGAGAATGTTAAAAATGCGCTAGCTAAAGCAGCGCAGACCTATCAAAAACAGGCAGACAAATGCCAAGCCCTGCAAGAGCCATTCCAGGTGGGGGAGAAGGTCTACCTCTCCACAAAATATCTGAGGCTAAAACTCCCTAGCAAGAAACTGGGGCCAAAATTTATGGGACCATTCCCCATAAAGATTATCAACCCAGTCACGGTACAGTTGCAATTGCCCCTATTGCTAGGGAAGATACACCTGGTATTCCATAGTAGCCTCTTAAAACCTGTGGTCGGATCGACCCTGAGGCCCCAACCTCATGAGCCCCCAGATCCCGTGGTCATAGGAGGCCAAACCCATTATGAGGTGCAGCGAATCCTTGATTCGAGGTGGCAGAGGAGACAACTTCAATACTTAATCAAGTGGAAGGGCTACCCATTATCAGAGGCATCTTGGGTAAAGAGTAGGAACGTCCAGGCCGATCACCTTATAGCAAGATTCCATGCAGAAAATCCGACCAAGCTTGGGCGGGGGGTTGCAACCCTAAATTCTATATCGACACTCAATTTGTTTTTGCTTTGTACAGGTCACCTTCAAGAAGTGAGAGGAGCCAAATGTCAACTCATAAAACATTCCTATGCCTGATTTAGTAGTTACCATAAAAAAGGGGGGGAAGGAAGGAAATCTGGAAGAGCAGTGCAGCAGTTTGAAAGCGAAAGTACATTCCAACACTTATCTTTAAAAGATTGTAACTAAACTACCAGAGCTTTTGCCCGCAAATATATTTAATTAGAGAACATGACTGATGACACCTAGCCCGTGAACGTGCTTAATTGGAGAATCTGATTTATGAGACACCCAGGAGGGAGGGGGAAAACAGGGTCACAGGTGACTGTAAATTATGTATGCCAGAGTTGGCTTCATACAGGTCATGCCAGTATGTCACCTCTAATAAATCCTTTGAAGTTTTTTGAAGTTTGGCTCGAGACTCATTAGGTCGATTGCTGGAATCCTGACAGCACACAGATGTATTATTTCATGATGGACTGCAGTATAAAGCACCGTTTGTTGCACATGGTTTGTAATATTGTTTGCTGACGCTGTAATTGGAATTAACCTGGTATGTATGTTTGTTAAAGGATGTAAATGTATAAGATGTACAAGTATTTGTAAATTGATAAGTTAAAAAAGCCTGCATCTGTGGAAAGTATAATGACTATATAAAAGCGTTTAGATTATCAACTGTTCAGCTTTAAATGGGAGGAGTGTTAAGGTATTGAAATTTAAGAGCTGACCAGTTGCCGGAAGGCTGATGCAATGTAAGGCTGATGCAATAAGGATGAATCAGCATAGCATGGATATTGCCCCTTTAAGATGAAAAATGGATCCACAGAAGTTTTACCTCTTTAAGAGGTGTCTATATAAAGGTAGCCATTAGAGGGTGTTTCTCTCCTTGCGTCCAGTATCCATTGCAGAGTTCTCCATGTAGAGTTAAGATTGATTGCTTGTCAGGTATTTGCCTACCATGTATATTTCTGTAACTGTGTCAGCTGGTGCTCCATTCAAAATCCAAGAAAGAAATACGTAGACTCCATTAATTAGAGGAAAGATATCTTTTACTGGAAATCAAGTGGTAGCATCAAAGGAATTCTGAATCTGAGAAAATGAGCACATAAATAATATATACAAAGTGATGGCAACGTTCCCACCCACAATAGTTCAAACTGTCCATCCAATAAAAAGTTGTATATCACGTCATGTGGGCATCTCCAGGTGGTGATGAGGCCTCTGTCCGTTGACCTTGACATATTTTGATAAAGAGCAGTGCTTGTGCATACCATAGGAAAGAAACATAAGCAAGAAACTCCCCCCCCTTATACAGTTCTTTTTTGTAAAACCTCCAGCTCGCTTCCCATAACTATGTCCCCCCCTCCTGCCCCCATTACTTATGACAGCTGAAAGATGCAAAGCAAAGGAAGGAAATCTTGAAGGCTGACAAACTGTCTTGTAAATAAACCACTGTTAAATGTCTCTGTGTGCTGTGTTTTGCTCCTGGGTTGTCTCATAATAGTAGTCACGCTGCAACCGCTCTGACAAATGTGAGTCAGTTGTCAAGCATCTGAATGTAAATGACATGACCACAGGGATGCTACAATGGTCCAAAGTGTGAAAAATGGTCATAAGTCACTTTTTTCAGTGAGGTTGAAATTGTCATGCCTCTGTTGGAATCTGATTTGGAGGGGGAGGCCGAGCAGCTGACAGGGAGTGGGAGTGTGGCTCTGTTGGCTGTGGAAGAAACTGGGGAAGGGCAAAGGCCAGCAGGGCAGGGCAGGGAAGAGGTAGAGCAAGGGAGAGGGAATTCAGAGGAAGACCCAGGCCCACCCCCTCTTCATCCTAGGGCACGCAGGGAGGAACAGAGAAGGGAGCAACGTGAGTTGTGTGGCTTACGGGGGAGGAAAGGGCCTGGATTTCCTTCATTAGCTGCAGCTGGGAACACAGTGTTTAAAAGGGAACCTGTGCACAGCAAAGTTGTTGGGAGCAAATTGTGAATTATCTGGTTTTGTCAAGGCTTATCTGGGTTCCTGGCATCTTCCCAACTGTGTGTGTTTTGCTGGGCTTTCAAGTCTGCAATTTCTTCTCCTGCCCTGTCAAGTTAATTACTGCAGCATGGTTTGTGTGGATTTTTATTTACAGTTTGTATGTACTTTGTTTTTGGACTGAATTTCCTCCACTTTAAGACTATTCTTGAGAGAATTTTTTTCTCCAGCCAAAGGTAACCTGGACATTGGGGGCAAAGTTGGAGGTACTAAAGGGACATTTCTTGCTTATTTGACTGTGTTGCTTTTTTGCCACGCCCTGGGTCATCACAGTAACTTCGAACAGTCACTAAATGAACTGCTGTAAGTCGAGGACTACCTGCATTGACTTAGTGACCGTTCAAAGTTATAACTGCACTGAAAAAATGACTTACAATCATTGCAGCATCCCCACAGTCACATGATCAAAATTCGGGCTCTTGACAAATGGCATGTATTTACGATAGTTGCAATGTGCTGGAGTTGTGTGATCGCCCTTTGCAACCTTCCCAGCTGGCTTCCAGTAAGTGAAGTCAGCAGGGGAAACCAGATTCCTTTAATGACTGTGTCATTAACAACCGCAGCAATTTTTCATAACAATCGTGGCAAAAAAGGTTGCAAAATGAGGTGTGACTCACTTAACAATCCCTTGCTTAGTAACAGAAACCCAATTGTGGTTGTAAGTCAAGGACTAATTGTATAGGTTTTATATATTGGTTGTTTGGTTTGTTGACATTTTAGATGGTGTTTTAATTGATTAGATGCCCAGAGTTGGTAGGGTAAGATGGGAGACCGTACATAACTAAATAAAGACATACTGGGAAAGCAGAAGAGGTTCACCTGGTGCTACAGACAGCTGAGAAACAGAAGAGTTAGCCAACCTGACCTGAATTTGCCTTTCAACTCTCTTTTTCCTCTCTCCGCAGTACAAGCAGCAGCACACTCTTCTCCACAAGGTGAATGGCATGGCCATGCTAGTCACATTCTTCTGCTGCCGAATCCTGCTCTTTCCATATATGTACTGGGTATATGGGCAGTATGCTGGCTTGCCCTTCTACCGTGTACCCTTCTTCATCCCCGCTGAGTACAATTTGGGATCGGTCATCCTCATGGCTCCCCAGATATACTGGTTTGGCCTCATCTGCCGTGGAGCGTTCCGTGTCTTCCATGCCCAGGGTACCACCAAGGAACAAGTATTGCAAAATGGGCACAGGATGGATACCCAGGCACTGGACTAATGGCTCTCTTTCCCCCTCCCTCATCTGCAAACGGACAAGCTGCCTTTTCCCCCTATGACTTATTTATTGGAGTGATGAGAGGGAGTGAGGAAGCTGGCTTCTAGGCCAAAAGGGAAAACGGGAGGGTTTGGAAAGGGTGTGTGTGTGTGTCCCAAAGGAAGTCTTTAGAGGGCATAAAACCAAAATATTCCTTGGTTTGCTATGTGGAAATCCTTTGTCAAAGGAAACCCTCTAAATTTGCAATGCTGTCAATGTTTTGAAATGTCTATGAGTTGGGTAGGGTTTGAACCAGATTGTAGTCCTAAACCAAAGGGAATACTGAGGATATCTATGTTGGGGAGATAATCAGGCCTGTGTGGCACCAGATCAAGAATCAACTGTGTCGGCCTGTAGAGCAAAACCAGATTTCTAATGTATCAGGGCTCTGCCAAGTTGACAAACGCATAGTGGCTATTGCTTGCTAGACTATGATTAGATGACCTAAGATTTTCTGAGCATTGCTGGCCAAGGAGAGACCCATGTGGCTTGCATGGGGGCAATAATATTACCCGAAAGCAGGATTGGATAGGAAGATTAAGTCAAATTCTCCCCAATCCTATTTTCTTTAGACTTGCAGAATCTCTATCACATGTAAACACGATGGAGAAATAATACTGGGTTTGGATTGCCTTTACCGCAGGCAGCAATAGGGGAATCTCTCAGCAGAATTAGTTATATTTGTAGAATAACCAATAAGAAAACACTCATCATTTTTTGGATGCTAGAAAAATAGCATGGTCTTTAGTATTACTGGAATGTCATCTATCCAGGATATTTAATTCATTCATATGTGGGTGTGGGTGTGATCTCACACATGCACAAACACATTTATCCTCTGTAGCAAGATGATCAGAAGGGTACTGCTTAAAGAACACATGCCCTCTCCCCATAGCAATAACCAAGCAGGGGAAACACATTTCTCTCAACACCTTCTCCTCTGTTTCAACACAGAATTCCTTCACTGCTCACTCTTAGACCCCCCCCCTCACTTCATAGGGCAGGAATCTAGCTGTAAATAAAGAGCAGGGGGGAATGTATTTATAACCTAAGGTCTGCCAAGTATTAAAGGAGCCTTTATCTACTGTCAGCAGAGGGTGTGTGTGTGTCGTTTATTAATTCTAAATCTGCAGCCCCATGTGTATTGCCGAGCCCTGTATTTGGATCACTCTTTCCCTAAAACCTTTGAGGACCACATAGCTGTCTTTACAACTCTCCCTCTTTAATCTTCTTTTATTTATTTACTTATTTGTATCCCGCCTTTATTATTTTTACAAATAACATAAGGCAGCAAACAAATCCAGTGTCAGCGTTCCAGCAAACCTCCATTCCAATCAGTAACTCTGAGACAGATGTCATCTCAAAAGTACCTTTATTAGAATAGCACCTGGCACATCTGTGGAATCTTGAAACTAAGTTTCCCGGACTTCCCACAATGTCCCAAACTACAAACCATCCCCTTTTCCCTCATCATCACATCACATGAACCAATCCCAAAGTAAGCTCCTTTTTGTTCCTGCAACACACAGGACCCTTTGGTTTGTTCGGGAATTCCTCATGGAATTGGTTAACTAACCTATCTGCATGTACATCCCAACTTTTAACCCAAGTAGCATCTGATACAGGGTAACCCTTCCACAATACTAAGTATTGTAATCTTCCTCGGTGCAGTCCAGAATTGAGGATTTTCTTGATTTCATAATGTTTCTCACCCTGTAAGTTCAAAGGTCTAGGAGGAGCTGTTGGTATCGGCCTTAGATTTGATCCTACAGCTGGTTTCAACAAACTACTATGGAACACTGGGTGTATTGTCCCCAATAGCCGGGGAAGACTGTGACTGGATTGATTACTTTTGCTATAGGGAACGGACCTAAGAACTTAGGCCCCAACTTCTTATTAGGAAGTTTTAATTTGAGGTATTTTGTTGACAAAAACACTTTGTCCCCTACTTTAAATGGTGGTTGGAGGGATCTATGTTTGTCCACCTGTTTTTTGTATTCCTCAGCAACTTCAGCCAAAGCTTTTTTTTGTATCCTCCCAACCCTTTTTTAATGAGTCCATCCATTCTGTTAAAGACAGAATGGGGGGTTCCCTAGGTAGTTCCGGCATAGGGACAAATTCCATGCCAGTGTTAATTTGGAATGGAGTCAAGCCTGTGCTGCTATGTACTGCATTACTGTAAGCCACTTCTGCAAATGGCAATAGCTTTGCCCAGTTTTCCTACTGATAATTTACATAGCATCTAATGTATTGTTCCACCATGGCATTTGTTCTTTCTGCTGCCCCGTTGCATGCAGGATGGAATGCTGAGGATAATCCTTGGGATGACCCAATGGACTTCAAAAATTCCCTAAAGAACTTAGCGGTAAACTGTACACCTCGGTCTGAGATTACCCTACGAGGTACTCCGTGGAGCCTATAGAATATGCTTCACGAATAATTTTGCAAGCTTTTTTGCTGATGGTAGCCCTTTACAGGCTGTAAAGTGGGCTTGCTTAGAGAATAAGTCGATAACAGTCCAAATAACTGTATTCCCTCCACTCTCAGGTAATTCTACGATAAAGTCCATCACAATTTCTTCCCATGGCTTTGTTGGCTCAGCTACTTGTTGAAGGAGGCCAGGGGGATTCCCAGTTCTGTGTTTCATCATGGCACAAATTGAGCAGTTTTTCACATAGTCCTCAACATCAGGTTTCATTTTGGGCCACCAGGACAGTCTTCTGACTAAATGTAGGGTTTTTAAGAAACCAAAGTGTCCCCCCAACCACGAGTCGTGGCTATGTTTTAGTACCATTAGTCTTAGATATGCAGGTACATAAAGTTTAGTCCCTTTCCAAGCCAGTCCCTCATTCATTGTCGAATCGGTTTGATGCTCCACAAACCAGGGATTGGTCAATAGGGCTGCTTTCAACTCAGTTGTCAGTTTGTCTTCCAGGCATCTGGGGTTGCAGTTGGCTTGGCCTCGGGTGGTTACTTGGCCTGCCGGTTGAGTTTCTGATATCACAGTCTGCATTACTTCCTCTCAGCGACTGTCAAATTGGGGTTTTCTTGAGAGGGCGTCTGCCAACATGTTTTTCCCTCTGGGGATATATTTCATGTTGAAGTTGAACCGCTTGAAATATTAAGCCCAGCAGACTTGTTTAGGTGATAGCTTCCGAGGTATCTTTAGAGCCTCGAGGTTCTTGTGATCAGTCCACACCTCAAATGGCTCCTTCACCCCTTCTAGGAAATGCCTCCAGGTCAGCAAAGCCCATCACACTGCAAATGCTTCTTTCTTCCAAACCGCCCACCTTCGCTCTGTGTCAGTTTTTTGGACACATAAGCGTAAGGCATCAGCCGGTTCTGAGAGTCCATTTGGAGAAGAATGGCCACGACAGCCACATCACTAGCATCAGCTTGGACTATAAAAGGTCTGGTTGGGTCTGGGTGCTGGAGGATGGGCTCAACTGCAAAGTGACATTTTAAGGTTTCAAAAGCTCTATGAGAGTCCATTGTCCAAGCAAGGGGTTGACTGGGCTTTGGTTTGGTGGGGGAAGGCCTTGTTTTCAATAACTCTGTCAAAGGGAGGGTGACCTCAGCAAAAGAAGGAATAAATTGTCTATAGAAATTGGCAAAACCCAAAAAGCTTTGAAGTTGCTTCCGTGTTTTGGGGGGTTGCCAGTCTAGCACCGCTCTCACTTTTCCAGGGTCCATCTCAATTCCCTAGTTGGATATTCGGTAGCCTAGGTACTCCAGCGACTTTTTGTGGAATTTGCATTTTGACAGTTTTACATATAACTTGGCTGCTAAAAGTTTTTTCAGCACTTGTCTGACCAATTTGACATGTTCCTTAATGGTTTCACTGAATATAAGGATGTCACTCAGGTAGACAAGGACCCCCTGGTACAGGAGTGGATGTAACACTTCATTGATGAGTTGCATAAATACAGCAGGGGCCCTTGAAGTGTGAAAGGTACGACTCGGAATTGGAAACTTCCCAAAGGGCAGTTGAAGGCAGTTTTCCATTCATCTCCCTCCTTTATGCGGACTCGGTAGTAAGCTTCTCTCAGATCTAGTTTGGTGAAGAGCTTGCCTTTTCACAGGTGATTCAATAAGTCCTTCATGAGTGGGGGAGTGTACATGTTTTTTATGCATATGGCATTCATGCTCCTAAAATCATCATATAATCTCTACCCACCATCTTTCTTTTCTTTGAACAGCACTGGGGCAGCCAACCTAGATTTGGCAGGTTCAATGAAACCTCTGTCCAAATTGTTATTGATGTATTTCCTCAATTCAGTCATTTCAGCTGGTGTCATGGAATACATCTTTGGTTTTGGCAGTTTTGCCCTGGATTCTAACTCTATGGCACAATCAGTGGCTTGATGGGGAGGTAAAACATTGCATTCCTCTTCACTGAATGCCTCAACCAAATCTCTGTATTGTTTGGATACTTGGGGAGTACCTGGAAGAGAGTCCAAGGTGATGGCTGATACTTCAGTTTTTGGACCTATGTTGGGTGGTAGTTTCTTAGTGGGGAAAAGGGGGGGCAGTGGGCCCACCCCAATTATAATTTTTCGGTATCCATCCTCCCACTTGATGGTAGGGGCCCATTTATCTAGCCAAGCAAGCCCCAATATGACAGATTCTGACATCCTTGGAGCCACTATAAAACATATGAGTTCACAGTGACTACCCATCTCAAGTTTGATTAACTCTGTCATTTGGGTGGCCAGAATCCACCCAATTAAAGTCCATGTCAGCTGGTGCTCCATTCAAAATCCAAGAAAGAAATACTTAGCCTCCATTAATTAGAGAAAAGACATATTTTACTGGAAATCAAGTGGTAGCATCAAAGGAATTCTGAATCTGAGAAAATGAGCGCATAAATCATATATACAAAGTGATGGCAACGTTCCCACTCACAATAGTTCAAACTGTCCATCCAATAAAAAGTTGTATATCACATCATGTGGGCATCTCCA